GTACTTAAATTCAGAATGTTTTAGAAAAATCCCGTTTTACTTCTTTTTACACAAGACTTTTATTAATTGAACCATCATCGGAACCGAACAAGATTTTTGGGGATCGCAACCAAAAACGTCGACCCGTTTTCAGACCTTTTTTTACAGTGTATCGCCGGCTACAGGAGTCGTGCAATATAATGTGTAGTAATCCATTAAGGACCATGTTCCATTTTTGGGAATATTAAATAAATGATTCTATTATTTTCAGATGAGTAAATATTTTTATTATGCAGCATATTGTTGAAGAAAGTATAAAATTCGTCTGGCTAAATAATCGGCACAACCTTTCAAATGACAGAAGAGTGCCTAAGCAACTTTGTGGGGTACCTAAGTTTGAAAGCCTAAAAATTCCATAAAAGATATGTATTAATGAAATTTTATTTTTAAATCTTATTTTGATACATCTTTTAAGCAGAAAAATTCAGAAAAATCAAAATTTAAAAATCTGGTACTTAATGGGTTGATCGAAAAAGGTTCACAGCACCTTCGTCACCATACACTTTCGTCATCAGATAACGATGAAATTTCGTCATATGACGAAACTTCTGTTGTCCAGTGACAAAAATTCATTCTGCATGTGGCAAAAGTTCTCGCGGCATGTGACGAAAGTTTAACCATGTCTGAATAGTGGTTACGAAAGTTAATCCGTTGTGGCGAAAGTATCTACTTTTTCAGACAGGTCGGCACTTTCGTCATACGTTGCATGAAACGGCTGCGATGAAATCAACGTTTAGTGCAGAGTTCATTAGTCCAAAGTGTTGTAGTGCAAACTGTAGTCCAAACTGCAGTAATGCAATTGGAGTAATAACTTCTTGCTTTATTCTTTACAAACATCGCATTTTCTTAGCGAAACGCGTAAACCCTTTTGAAATCTTTTTCTAAAGTCAAAGCATCGAAATCAAGCGTCTATTGCGTTTGAGAGTAGTTCGGTCAGAGGTGGTCCACACTACAGCAGTCCAAAATTGGAGTAGTCCAGTAAGTCGTTTTGGGTTCTGACGAAAGTTGTAGGTATGTTACAAAGTTGATTATGAAAGTTTACCACTCCTGTGACCAAAATGTGGAGTGGTACTCCCCCAAAAATACCATACACTTTCGCCACGTATGCCGAAAATTCTTTTTTCTATGTGACGAAAGTGCTGTCATCTATCGGAAAATGAGTTACAATAAAAATGAAATTTTCTTGTGGCAAAGAATTCAATCTCTTTTTCTTCATTGTTTACCTTATTCACCGAAAAGACGATGAACAGTCATGAAAATCGAATAGATGCAAGACACACGCATTTGTTACACGTGATGTCTTAGCCTATATTGTCTGATAGATTCAAGAATAAAAATTAGATTTGTCAGACACAACTACCTTGATATGTTGCAGCTATTATGAGGTTGTGGCCAAGTGAAATGAGGTGTCAATGATTATTATTTTTTAATATAATAGTATACTTTCTTCTTGTGGTGAATGAGAAAAATTGTGCTTCACTATGTTATAAAAATCATTATGTTCTTTTCGTTTCTGCAAAAAAAATATCATGAAACCATCGACAATCATTACACATGAGATGAAATGATTGTTGAAAAACATAGGTTTTTTCCAGTTTCCTATTTAAAGAAATATATAAAATCTTTTTTCTACCTTGTTTTTTTCTATTTTTTGAATAATAGAAGTAGATGTGTTTCTCTGACAACGAAAACAAATAGTACGATATTATTCTTCATTAAGGGACAAATCAATAATAAAAGAAAAGAAAACAGAAAAAAATTGCTGTTTCTAATTTTTTTCTAAACAAAAGCAATTATGTTTTTTATTCAACAACAGGTAGGAACCGAAATATGTTTGTATATAGACGTTCTGACTTTGAAATATTTGTTGATGTGAACGAATGAAGAGTTTCTCAGGAAATACTCGGTATCAGCGTTGATGCAAACAAAAGATTATCAGGAGCATTACTGGCTTTGTTAAAAATTAACTAGTTCATTTTATTGTTATAACAGTGTACGGTTAATGATGCATAATAATTTCAAATTCAAAATACGTTTTACTGTTTCGAGGGAGAAGCTTTTGCACTCTTTATACAGAATATCTTTTGAGAGGAAAAGCTTCGCTTTTCTGCTGGACAAGGTATGAAGGAAAAGTGGAATTACTTTATCTCGGATCAAAAACAGAATGGAAATGTGTTTTACTCTCATCTTTATGACCATCATTAGAAATGCTTCTGACATCTCTAGGTTGTGAAATATCCATCTTTTCCGCCTGACTAGTACACACTCGAAGTATTTCTTATTTGGCTATTGCTTAACTTTGTACATCCCTCCCATTTGCCTGTAGTTTACTTCGTTTAATCAGCAAATTCCATTCTTCTTTCTCTCGGTTCTCTGTAATCTCTACTCAGTAAGATTGATCGGGAAATTTATAGATAGTTTTATAGTTTTATAGAATAGATAAAAAGTCACTCATACCTATAAATAGTTTTATTTTTCTCAGTATCGACATTTACCATCCTTGCCTAAAACGTGTTCTATTTGTTTCAGTCTCATGGATGAATGAAACTGTGGAGGTAAATAAATTATTTCGACATTCATCAGCGAATATGACCGAAAACATCACGTCAAAAAATCTCGACGCAACTTCCACGATGTAGAGAAGATAACCACACTAAAAAGCTAGAAAGTCTGAAAATGAGAAAAGCTTGATTTTTGACACATACAGAGAAGATGTCCAATCTTCTGAACAGGCAGAAAGTCGCTAAATCAGAAAACGTTAGTTCCAGAACACTGAAAAACTACCTGAAAACCTACAAGTACTTTCTATATTTCGATACATACATTCACAGAAATGAAAAAAGAAAAGTGAGAAATGACAGAGAGTGAACAAGACATATTTTTCTAGGGTCTACGAAAAATGGTCGAAAGAAAAAAGGTCGAGCAAAAATTGGTCGCGAAGAATTGGGTGCCACCAAATATGGCCGCTAGGAAATATAGTCGCTACGAAAATTAGTCAAGAAACTTGTAATAAAAGAAGAAAAGCTTTTTTAAACAAAAGACTTTCATTGAGACGAATAAATTAAACAGATACAAAAAAGAAGAACAGACCGAAGTTACTTGGGAATCTGTTGGTTACTTCACAGGAGCAGATATTTCTCTGATGTTAGCAAATTATTAGAGACTACAATTTCTTTTAATATAAAAATTACAGATCAGCAGGTTGTTTCGAGGTTATATATAGAGCTATTGCAGAAGAGTGGGCTACACTTTTCTTCCAAAATGACTACAATTTACACTCAGTACAAAAAAAATCGCCACGAATAATTCAGCCGAAGCTTGGCATCGTCATCTTAACTCAACCATTCAATGTCAGCATCCTACGCTTTGGGCTTTCATTGAAAGTCTACAGAACGAAGAACATTTTATTCATTGTCAAATGATTAAGCTTAATTCTGGTCAAAAAGATGAACCAAGTAAAAAGTATTTAAATTATAGTAAACGTCTGCGTCATTTAATTACGCATCCACATCCAACATTACTACAACAATTACATGGACTTCCCAGTGAAAAAAAAGAGTATGATTCCGCAAGTTCCTGCGGGAAAAGTGAAACATTTTCACGCGGGAAGTGAAAGTCTTCTGCAGGAAAAGAAGCACTTTTCCCGCCGCATTCTGCAGGAATCTTTCGAAAATCTGAAGAACTCCGTTCTTTTCTTAGGAAAAATTTCCGCCCAGTTTAAGACATTTCCGACGAAAAATCTCGGCAGAATTCTTCTCTCTTCCCGATGTAGAAGAATTCTGCAGAAATTTTTCGTCGTAAATGTCTTAAACTCGGCGGAAATTTTTGCGCAAAATTCTGCGGAAACATTTTCTGCAAAAAAAAGATTTTCACCGTTGTCTCGCTTTTCATCTCATCTCTCATCATTCCGCTATCCACTTTTCTCATCTTATGTATCGTAGTCAGCCTCACTCTACTTAGTTTTCCTGCAGAAGACTTACTTTTTCCGCACAGTATTATGCGCGG